GCTGGTTATTGGAAAGCTCCCATTATTAGCCAGGAACTTTGTTTGGTTACCATGGTGACCTTCACTACACCAGGCCTGACTAAGGCCCAAGGAATCTGTTACCTAAAACCATCGCCCCACGGAGCCCTGGCTCCAGGAAGGACACTTATCAAAGTGGCCTGTTCCCCTCGACCCAGTCCCCTGCCCCTCCCTCTCCCTGGTTGGGCCTCCCAGCTGCCTCCCATACCCCAAACGAGAAGAAAGGACAGCAAAGGCGTCTCCAAGCTTGCACGGGACATCTCACATTCCGCGGCTTGGCCCAGAACCCAGGCCGGAACAGGGAGCTTGCCACCCGCTGAAGCCCCTGCAGGCCCTCCTGGCCGGCTGGCCAGGGACAGCTCGGCCAGCACATGTGTCCAGGGCTTAGTCAGAAGCCCACAAGATTTCAGGAAGCTGCTCGGGGTGTCTGGTTCCCACTGTGCGAGGTTCACACTGTCCCTGCGGGGCCGTCACCTCTCTGCCTCATCACGTTTTTGCCTTTTTAAACCTGAGCTCCATGAACTAAAGGTCATCCCTCTGCACAGACGTCAAGATCCTCTTTGCTTTGCTTTCTCATCCCTGAATTCAGAATGCTTTTCACAAGTTTGACTCCACGAAGATGGGTTTTTCTCCGGGAGGCTAGAGGCTCCTGTATGGGAACTGTGACCTCTTGTGCAGTTAAAGAGCGTAAAAACCTCTTCCCAGAGCTTCCTCCCCGCCTCTGCTCAGGGCCCCGTCTGGCCACCTACTCCACACACTGCCGCCCTCAGGCCCAGGTTACAGCCTGCCCTGCCACACTGCCACCTTGCACACTGCCTTCCATCGGCTGTGTGACCTTCTCTCGTCCGAGTCTCACAACAGACCTCGAAAGCAGGTGGGCACGGGGCAGACGAGGACGCAGAGGCAAGGAGAGGAGGGGCACGCTGTGCGGGCGGCATGGGTCAGTGACAGACATAACTCGAGGGCAGGAGCCAGCTATGTGGACAGGGCTCCCTCCACCCACCATCTTCCTCCCCTGTGGCAGGCCTCCCAAAGCGGTGACACGGGCAAAGCCACCCCCCGACACTGGCCTGCGGCTTCTTTCACTGAGGCAGGCTCTGGGATCCCAGGCACTGGTGGCGTCTGCAGAAGGAAAGGCCTCTGTCAGGCCTCAGTTGCATGGCCCTTGGCGAGGGGCCTTTAAGTGTCCTTTACATACGGACCTCGCTGGGTCAATGAGGTCAAGGCAAAGGGGGTTTGGTTTTTGTGGTTTCGCTGCAGTGATATTTACTGGACCGGTTGTTTAATTAACTGCCTTGGCAACAGCTGGAGCCACACACGGCTTGTCACCAGTGCAGGGAGCAGCTGGGGAAGGAGGACACAGTGTCAATCGAAGAGCAATGACATTTTTCAGTGATCCCTGACCCGTATGCACTCAATGACATTTCCTGCTAATCCCTGGGTTTCTGTACTCCAGAGTTTTATCTGCGGAGAACAGAACTGACTTATTTGCAAAGAGACATGGTCATACCCTACGGCCACTCACCAGAGCTGAGTGGAGGATGGATTCCCCAGCCCCCACTCAAGCAATATGCAGATATATTTTTTGCTTTAAACAACAGAGATTTATAAATCCGGAGGCCAGAGGCCCTTGTGTTTTTTCTGGGTAGTTTTGTAGCCTTCTAGCGACAGCTCAGATCGAAACAGAGCTCCTCATGGTCCCCATCCGCTTCCCGCCCCCTGCCCCCTGGACAAGCAGACTGGGAGGAGTGAAGCACTACTGGGGATGGGGTGCTCGGGTCCCCAGATGCTCTGCAGCACAGCACTCTACAGTGACAGGAAACAATCCCTCAGAATCCCTCAGGGGATGGGACTCGAATGCTTTCCTTCTGACCTCGGAGCGGACGCTGTGCTGCCGGCCCCACGTCCTCCAGGGCTCCGGAAGCCCCTGCAGCTGCTCTGCCCTGTCTGCACGGGGAGGCGTTCCCACGGCAGAGGCTGCCCCTTTAAGGCTCCTGACTGCAGAAGTGGGGACACTGTTTTCCAGGCAGCTCCTTGCTAGCCTCGGGGAGGCACCCGAGACAGGGACACTTTACCCTGCACATTGACAAACAGCACAATCTGCACCAGGGCTCCTCAACCTTTGTGGGGATCAGGCCTCTCTGAGAACGTGCTGAAAGCTTTCTCCGTGGATATGTGCACGCACACACAGAATGTCACATTTCAGGTCCAGGGGCCTTGGAGGCCCAGATGTCCACCCACGTGCCTCTGGGGAAGTCACCAACTTCAAGGTGAGGACCCCCGCCCGCCCCAAAACACTGTCAGTGAGCGGAGCATTTCCTGGTGAAGCAGTCAGCACCAGAATGAGGGTGGGAGGCGGGGAGGGTGTGGTGTGCCCATGGGAGCGGGGTGGCAGCTGGGACACACACGGTCCACGTGGACAGGGACGGCTTCCTAGTTGCCGGAGAGCCTGGGAAGATGGGGGCACTCCTGGGGTGAGTCAGGGAAGCTGACGGGGAGCCCGAGGCTGGCCCCATGCACTGGACAGACCACACTCCCCACCACGCCTCACACAGCTTGGGCTGCAGATCCCGGGAGGGAGTCAGCCTTTCTCCCCACACCTGGCCCGGGCAGCGCGTCAGCTGGTAGAAAGCAAACCGTCCATTGGAGACGCAGTGGTCCGACAGAAAGGCTCAGAATCCGAGGGTGGGGAGCGGGGAGCTCCTCGGCCACCCTGGGTCTCTGTGCGTGTCACAGAAGGCACAAGAGGCTCAGCTCGGCACCAGACGTGGTTTCATCAGCAAGTCCTTTTCCTGAAATCTCACGTGGAGACTGAGAACGTGAAGAAGTGAGGAAGGGACACTGATCAGTACGATGCCACGTGCTAGAAGGGAAAGGCCCCCTCAACTGGACGCGGGGCCGAGGACGGGCCAAGGGGCCAGGTGGGAACGTCCTTCCTTTGCCCATCAGAACAGCTCTGCTCCCACCTGCTTCACGTTCTCAGTTCCCACCTGAGATTTCAGTGGAAAAGAACTTGCTGATGAAACCACGTCTGGTGCCGAGCTGAGCCTCTTGCACCTTCTGTGACACGCACGGAGACCCAGGGTGGCCGACGAGCTCCCCGCTCCCCACCCTCGGATTCTGAGCCTTTCCGTCGGACCACTGTGTCTCTGATGGACGGTTTGCTTCCACGGAAGTGTAACTGACAAGAGCATGTGCGCGCACACACGCACACGCACAGGCACGCACGCCAGCAGCAGGCGGCCACACCCTCCAGGCAGGCTCGAAGGTGGAGTGGGGAAGCGAGGTCCTGGCACCAGGGTGGAGAACCTTCGTCTTTTGTGCATTTTCATCAGCAATTAAAGTAAGATAAAATGTTACCACCCTTACTGCTGTACTGCACATGGGATGGATGAGACAAGGTATGTAACCCCTTATCCACACACACAGTTTTCTCTGTGTTTTAGGATTTCGTAAGCTACCTGCCTTTCTAAGTAAAATTATTCCCGTTTTAACAGCCTCTTAAATGCTGGGTCTAAGGTCAGGATCAGGGAAGTCTCTGGAAGATCCAGAGGATGGGCTATGTCCAGTTGCCTGTGCACTCTGCTTACACCTGGCTGTGAGCGGTGGGGACCCACCTGGGCCAGGGAGGTGGGAGGGTCAGCCTGGGCTAGGGTAAGCAGGGGGGCCCAGGGCCCTGGGCTGAGGACCAGGCTGCCCGGCAGGACGAACGCCCGCCCTCAGCACGAGTCCCAGGGGCTCCCTTCTTCAGAGAGGCGAGTCATGGAGTTTACATTTAGCAAACTCTGCCACTCCTAAAGCACCTTTCTTTAGCCTTGGCGAGGAGGAAGCCACCATCCACAGCAGTCCTTAGCACCCTGGCAAAGGCCACAAGCTAAATCGCCTACAGATCCTCTGAAAAAGGCCAAGGGCACAGGTAGACACGAGCCAGGCCCCTGTGGTCAGCCCTGTCTCTGATGGGCTAGGGACGGACGCGGTTCCCAAGCCCAGGTTCCCTCGGTGAAGGGAACCTCCCTGGCCAGGGACAACTGCAGCTCCCCTCTGTCATCCATTGCCACCAGGGCACCCACCAATTTTCCCTAATTCTTTGTGAGCCTGTTTACACTGCCAGCATGAGTCACCTCTCCGGGTAACCAGGACCCCAGCTTCTTTCTTGCTGTCTTCAGTGGGACAGCCTTGGGCTGGTTCTAAATGGGGTTTTCCTTCAGACCCCAAGGTAGAATGACGGGTGTGGGGTGCCTAAGGGCCCTTCACTTGGGATTGCAGGATTTTGAGACACAAAACCTGCTACATCCAGCGTCACCTGCCCCGGAGGGGAGGAGGACAGAAATCAAAAGGCGACCGCCCACTAGTTTCCTCCCACTGAGCAATGCACCCTCCTGCCTGGGCTGGCCCAGCGTGGCCTTGTACTTAGTGTGCTGGAACGGTGGCAGCAGGTCCTCTGTGTACAGGTCCTGCCCCACCCACTGCCACCTGGGCCAAGCACAACTTGAATCCTGCTCTGAGAAGAGGGGCATCTGGCTGATGCAGTAAACAGGGCATGTCGGGCTGTGAGGAGCAGGACCACCCTGGAGGGAAATAACCCCCAACCCTCAACTGCCAGCAAAGAGGAGGCAGTTACCAGTCTGGATGCAGGGGATGGTCCCTTGGCCTCGGCCAGCTCAGCCCATGTTAGCGCCTCACCTTTGGCTGCCTGTGTCAGAGCTATGACTAAGTTACACAAGTTGGTGTCCTCCTAGGGCTCATGCAGAGCCCAGGGCGGTGGAAGCAGCCAGCACATGTGCACTCAGGTCAGCCCCTCCTGCAGTCCACCACCCCCTGCAGGCCAGGCTCCTCACTCCCCACCCAGCACCTCCTGGTGCAGAACATCACAGCCGTCTGCCAACCCTACAGGTCCTCACCCCTTGTCTCTCCACCCAGGGAGTGTGCCTGCAGTGGTGGCCAGCCCCTCTCCCCAGCCCGAGTGTCCCCATGGCACTCACTTGAAGTTCTCGGGGTGCTCATTGATGGCCATGTCGATGATGTCCAGGGCATGCTGGTAGTGCTTCTGGGCAGAGAAGAGCAGTGCCAGCAGGTGGAGGGCGTGGGCATCATCCCTGCACACCTTCAGGGCCTCCTGCAGCTGCTCCATGGCGCTGGAGATCTGCCAAAGGAACACGCCAGCTCAGCGCCCTCCTCAGGCACACGCTGCCCTGGGACCCAGAAGCCAGGTGCCGGCCGATGAGGGTGCCAAGGCTCAACTTGCCCTGCCCTGGGCACTGGGGCAGGGTTGCTGCTGCACCAAAGCACATCCCCAGACAGCCTGGCAAAGAGGGGTCTACTATCCCGCTCAAAAAGAGAGGAACAGGTCCACAGAGCATCACGAAGTACTGGGGCGGATATCAGGAAGCACTTCCTAAACTCAAGGAGTGGGAACCACTGGGAGAGGTGGAAACACTTTCCTGGAGCTCTGTTGATGGGCCTGGAGGGAAGGGAAAGACGAAAATGGGGTGCTCTGAGCAGGGGGTGCAACTTGACCATAGGCAGGGAGGCATGCAGAGGCCAAGTGCCCCGAAAAGGGGGAGACTGGCCACTAATGTGGGCACAGTGGGGGCCTGTCCAGATTCTAGTCCTGTGTTTTGTTTTCAATTCAACAAATTAAGCCTGGTTCTGTACAGGTAGGATGAGGCCAGAGGAAAGCTTTCCTTCCCGGTGGGCAGAGTTCACAGCAGGGGGGAGACCAGGGGCCACCATGGGCCCCAACTTTCACGGGCTTGGGTTTGCTGCCTTCCTTCTCAGAGCCCCGTGTGAAAGAGGGCAGGCCCCAACTGCTCCACCAGCCCAGCAGGTGAGTCCAGGAGAAGCAGGTAGAGCAGGGAAGGGCTCCTTCTACAGAGCTCACCAAAACCACCAGGTGGGACTCCCAACACCCAACTGGTCTCGATGCTGAGGGCACTGGTGACTTGCAGCTGTGGCTGAAGCCCATCTGTAAGTAGTTACAGGGTCACTCGACTCCCCAGCACATACTGCAGGGAGACTGCTCCAGGCCTGCCCAGCTGCCCGTCACCCGGCAGGGTGGGCCTCTGCCAGAGCTGGACTCGGGGGGATGTGGATGGTTCAAGGAGCTCCCTTTCCCTGAAGAGACCATTCTTAGCACACCCCCCAGGAAGGGTCCCGAGATTCCCCTAGATGTGAGAGGCACTTGATGCCTCTCTCCTTGCCTCCAATTCCATCTCTTAGCATCTCCACCCGCCTACTGCTCAGTAGGGAGGTCACTACTCTCAGAGAGCAAAGCTCCTCACCCCCTGTGCCCAAACCTGCACAGCCCTGCCAGGGTTGGAGAAAAGTTTGCACAAGCATTAAGGAGGAGAGAGAATTTTGGCAGTCACCAGTGTAAACACTCTTCTTCAAAAGAGGCTGGTGGGTCCTGGCTACTGCAATACCTCCTGACAGAGTCCTGCAGTCCCATGGGGCCTGCAAGGCAGCCCTCTGCCCTGATTCAGTAATCTCTTCTCCACCAAACACACCAGAGCCCCGGCCCCTGCGCCCTGGTAGGCACCCCTGAGCCATCCATGCCTGGGCAGCGCTTTCCCGCTGGCTGCCGTCTGAACTGACTAATGCTGCCAGTCGTGGCCAGGCAGGGCTCTGTGTTTGTGAATTCACAGAGCTGGGTTCTAGTCGGCTCTGCTGCTCCCCAGTCTTTGTCCCCAGCGCTCCTGCCTTTCTGAATTCAGCTCCCTTATCTGCAAATTAAGTGCATGCTTCACCTCCTGGGGGTTACAAAAACTCATCTAGGTGCAGATGACAATGCTTGTGTATCTTCTACCCCTTCTGTCTTTTCAAACGTCCTCACCCTACGAGGTCCCGCACTGCAGAGCCAGTTAGGAGTTAGCAGGGAGCAGGTGTTCCCAGCCAGTGCTCTTCTGTGAGCAACCACAGGCCTCAAAGCCCCAGTCAAGGCCAGCCTCTGCCTGTGCTGTGGGTTCAGTGACTCCTGGCACCTCCAGCCTGGCCCATTCCCCACACACATTCCCCAGGATGGCTGTCTACCCCACCCACACGCTGCTTCATCATAGGGCAGCCTTGGCTTGAGGCTCTGCGCCCTGCAGAAAGGCCAGTCTCCTCCGCGCCTCCCCTCAATCACCTGGCCCCTGACAGGTGTGGAGGCTGTGACCGGGTGTGGACAGGGAGGGGCTGAGAGAGGACCCTGAAGCAGGCTGGAGGGAGGAGGGCGGGGAGGCCTGGCCTTCTAGGAGACAATCTGCTCCTTGCAGACCTAGAGCTGACCAGGCCCTCTTTTCAGAACCTGTCCACGCAGTGATGGGAAACACCGCCTGACGTGTGACTGATCCATACACTGCCCCTGCCCTGGTGATTCCGCCTGGTGATTCTGCCCCATTGCCACCCGGGCTAGGTTTCCAAACCCACAGCTGTCACACACGGGGCAGCCAGACGTGCTCTGGGCAGGATCGGTGGGCTGGGGGGACCTCAGAGACCTAGCAGGTGAGGACTCTAGCTTAGAGTCCATTCAGGGGATCCTCAGTCCTTGGAGGCCACCAGGATCTGAATCTCTAAGGAAACCGGGCACCAGGCTCCACTGGCCGGCCCAGCCATCTCTCTGGGAGGATGGACACTATTCATCAGGGATGGGTGAATAATTAAACAGGTTAAAAAATGCATCACCAAAGGTATATCATTAACTTGATTGGCAAGAAAGGCACCGGTTCTTTCACAGAGGGCTAAAAATAAAGCGGTCTCAGGTATCTTTCGGTTGGTGCTCCTGGGAGCAGTGGTGCTCCCGGACACAGAGGGACCAAGGGGCCCAGTGCCGAAGCCAGGACTGGGGTCAGGCTGCGGCACAGTGGGGTGGGTGGGTGGTGTGCAGCCTGGAGGTGCAGGAGGGGTGGTGGGGGAAGGGGAGAAGCAGCCAGCGACAGCGGGAACGACAGCTGGAATGCTGGGGAGAAAACGGCTGAGACAGAGGACCTAGAGAGGGAGACAGAATGACTCAGACGCAAAGTGACAGGTCAGGTGGGGACAGAACAAGGTCTAGGAACAGGGCGAGAGGGCGAGGTCCTCTGAGTGTGACCTGTGGTGGGAAGCAGAGCCAGGCCGGCGCGGGGCGAGAGGGGAAGGTGAGCCAGGCAGCAGAGGGAGAAGCCAGGAGCCCTGGAGGCAGGAGGGGGCAGCTCACTGAGTTAAGGGGAGGAGGAATGAGAGGCCGAGCGCCGACCCTGACCAGAGACACCGGCCTCCTGGCAGGTGAGCAGGGCGCAAGGGCCCATGGTCAGAAGGGTCAGGTGAGCGTTTTCCTTCCTGGGCTGGGTGGGCTGCGGATCAGAGGCCTGGGTTTCCTCAGGTATAAAATGAGAGCACTGTGGCCCCCTCCTCAGAAGGGGGGGCTTCCCCTGGCTAGCAGGGGGCACAACAGCACCCCTGGTAGACAGGGCTGCGCTGCACCGACTATGAGCACGTGGGCTTCCCTCTACCAGCCCGGAGCTCGGCCCCCTGCATGGTGCAGGTGAGGAGAGCCATGCCGCGGGGCCAAAGGCTGGTCTGCAGGCCCCGGGTGAATGGTCAGTGGGGTCGCTGGCATCAGTGCCACCGGGTCAAGGCCACCTGAGAGGTCCTCCTCCAGAGGCTGCGCAGGTGCCCAGAGCACCCACCTGCAGGCCGAGGCGCCATGTGAAAGCAGAGGAGACTCTGAGGGGACTGGGGTGGGGGCTCTGAGGGGACTGGAAACACCTGCCTCCTCTCGGCTGCACCACTTGGGAATAAGGTGGCTCTGCTGCCCCGTCGGGGAGTGGTGGTCCTAGTGGGCGAAGGTGGTCAGTGGATGGGAGGCCTGGAGGCTGAGCCTGGTGGTGGTGTCCACAGGGTCAGAGAAAAGTTTTGGGGTCACACAGGAAGCCCACCCAGCAACAGCTCCATGTGCCAATCACTCTGCTCCCCAAGACCCTGGGGAGGTGGGACACAGACAAACGCTTGCTTCGGTCACTTGTCAACTTCTCAGGAGACTGACATGCTCTGGGGGAGTGAGGGCAGAGAGCAGTCCCTTCCGGTGCGCCTGCCAGGGGCTTTGCCCACGTCACCGACTTCTCCTCACTGGGCTCCTCATATGACAGACAAGGAAACACACTCAGAGCAGTTAAGTCACTTGCAAAGGGTCACACAGTTGGAAAGCAGAGTTGGCAGGAGGAGCTCCACAGTCCCAGGGACCTGGGGGTTAGGAACGGTGACAACCCACCTGTCGCACGAGGGCCAGCTGCAAGGAGACATAGAGGATGACCTGGGGGTCACCGGGCGCCAGCTGCTGGGCTCTGTGTGGGAAGAGGAAGTGAGACGTCAGTCACCGAGGGCTGAGCAACCAGTGTGTGACCCTCAAGCACGCCAGCCCCGCCTGGGCGCTCTGGGGCAGTGCTCTGCGAGATTCTGCCAGGCCCTGCCTTGGAGGGGCGCCCGGCTGGAAGAGGAAGGCTCAGGGAGGCCCATGGGCAGCCCGAGGCAAGGACAGTGGCCCTTGGAGGGCTGGCACTAGCTGAGCTGGAGGCAATCTGGGAGGGCAGCCTGGAGGTGGCAGACCCCGAAGGAGGGTAGGAGTAGGGGAGGGGGGAGGAGGACGATGTAGGACAGAGGCTAACACCTCCCTGAGGGTGGAGGCTGGGAATGAGGCGCCAGGGCTGGTGGGAGGGAAGGCCTCCACACCCTGGTGCCCAGGGGCCGCCAGGACTGGAATCTCCCCACCCTGGGCTGGAGACAACCCACCCCAGATGGGCTAGAGTGACACACGCTCCAACGAGGCTGGCACAAGGAGTCAGGACCAGGCCCAACCCGCAGCACGACCACATCGGGGCTCAGAGGGAGAAGCCTGGGATGGGCCTGGGGAGTGGGCAGCCCGTTTGGGGAGGACTTCCCTGCCTCTCCCTCCCTCCCTGACCCCAGCTGCCAGGAAACCTCTGTAAGGGCTGGGGGTGGCTGGGGAGGGGAATCAAACACCATTCCTGAGACTCTGCTACATGGACACTGTGCCAGGTGCTGTTCCTGCTGTATCTTGTGTAATTGTCACAATAGCAAAGGATTACTGTGCCCATCTTAAGGTCCTGAGCCCAGGAGGGTAAGGGCTGAGCTGGGTGGCTGCAGAGGCCCCAGCTCCTTGCCGACAGGGGGCTCCACCAGTGTGGAAGGCCAGAGGCCCAGAGCTGAGCGCAGGGCTCATCTGCCAGCCCAACCCCAAAATCCTGCCCTGCTTGCTGTGTGCAGTTTCCAGATCCATAAAACAGAGATAGAAACCTCTGCTCTTCCACATCACAGGGTCTGGTGAGATAAAGCATGTGAATATGCCACCTCATGCCACCACAGGCAGGAGGAACCTCTGCCGAGAACGGGATTCATACCTCTCCAGCGTCTCCAGTGCCTTCCGGTGCAGTTCATCTTGCTTGGACTTTAGGGTGGCTGCAGGAGACAGGACAGAGGCCAAGCCTTAAGCGGTGGCTGAAGGTGCCCCATTCCCGGACGCACAAACTCTGCGGGGAGAGGCCCCTCCAGGGCCCCATCTGGCAAGCCTCAGCTCCAGCAGCCTGGGCCTCCCTGCACAGTCCCTGGCCTGCAGGTTGCTTCCACCCCGTTGCCTCCCCCGCCACCTGGGCCAAGCCGACCCTTCCAAAGGCCCAAGCCTACAAGCATTCCACAACATAGGTGTCCCACTCAGGAGGCTGAAGCCTCGAGAGAAAGGCCACCACCTCTGTCTAGCCATGTGCCTTCCTGGGCCAAGGCTACTTGCTTTAACCCAAACCAGGCACCTTTCTGGTAAGTTGCATCCTACTTTAAACACAGCAGTGCGGCGTTCTTAGCTTTGGCTGCCACTGAACTTCCTGGGAAGCTTCAACGTGATTGTGTCCAGAACCCAACCCCAGACCAGATCAGAATCTGCAGTGAGGACCAGGCATTGACGGTTGTCAGAGCTTCCAGCTTAGAAAGTAACTGCTGTTTGCAGACGGTTAAAGGCACAAGGAAGGTGTTTTATTCACAGGAGACTTTGACCAAGGCACTCGAGTGGTGTGTAGAGACCCAGGTGTTCCCCAGGTAGGCCTCACTGAAGGCCCAGTGACGAAGAGCTGGCACTACACCAGGTGCTCTCATATGGCTTCCTCCCGCCTTTGCACAGGTCACGCTGTGCAGGGCCCTGAGGCCTGAGGCAAAGCAAACTCCCTGCACACAGCCCCACTCCCAGGGGCTGGCATTTGGGGGACATGGGCACGGGCTGATTACTATTCCAGGTCTGGTCCAGGTGGGGGGCTCACTGCTCTCCATCCCTCAAGCTGTAAGGATACAAAAGTAGGGGGGCTGCCTCATGGGTGGTGGGGGAACAGGGCTGGGGAAAGAAAGTCAGGCTTGGGGCAGGAAGGAGTAGAATCCATCAGCCAAGCACAAGCAGTTATTAAGCACCTGCTGTTTTCCCAGCCCCATGCCATGTGTCAAGGAGAATTTAAAAGACTCTAGAAGATCACGGCAGTGCTGAGGACAAAGGCAGGACTATGAGAACCAGAATGAAGACACCGTGGGGTTGAGGGCTGATGGTGCATTATAGACAGAAAGCGCCAGAGTTCCAAAGAGGAGGTCAGCCGGGCTTTGCTGGAGCAGAGGCTGGTCTGGAGGGGTGGGAAGAACTGGGTCCATGAAGAGGAGAGAGAAGGGAATGTCTGAAAGTGGAAATGAGTGAGGGAGTGTATGCATGTGTGTGTATGTGCACACACGCGTGGCTGTCTATCCCAGAGGAGTGCATGGTGCTACTGGGGCCTGGTGGGGGGGGCATTGGTGGGGGGAGTTAGGAAGCCCAGGCCACCCCCCCATGCAGGGGCCTCCCATGGCACTCACCGTCGGTGGCCTGCAGGCTGTAGGTGAGACCCAGCGCCAGGTAGCCCTTGGGGAGGAACTCCCCAGCTTCCTCCCCGAGGCCGATCACCATCATGGCAAAGCGCTCCGCCTCCTCCAGCTGCAAAGAGGAGAGGCAGAGGTCACGGGGCGGGGAGGCTCTGCTGTCCTCAGCATGGCAGGCAGCTCGCGATCACTGCTGGGCAGTGCAGACAAGAACTGCGATTGCTTGCATGTGGATGGCATGACCAGAGAGGCCAGGTGGCTTGCCCAAGACCACACAACCACTGAGCAAAAGGATCAGAGTGTCTCCTCGACCAGTGAGTGACTCCCTAGACGTATTCACACACTGAGGGGCCTTGTGCTCAAGGGCACAGGGAGAAGCTTCCTTTGCCCCAGAGAGCCCAGCTTCCCAAAGCTTGTTCTGCTCAGAACACAAACTCAAGACCAGGCCTGTGTGTGCCAGCTCGTCCCTCTCACTGCATCTCTAGGGGCCCGTGTCTGTGTCTGTGCCTGCCCTGCTTAGCAAGGAGGGGAGCCAGGCCTGGGGGTGGGCAGGGCTCTGGGGCTGGGTCTCGGGAACACGTACCTTGCAGGACATCGCCAGCCCCGTGAGCGGGCAGGCTGCCACTCTTGCTCTGTCTGAAAGCTCGCTCCCTCCCTGAGACAAGGAGCTCAAACTTCAAGGGAAAAAGGCCCTGGGCTGTTTTTGTCCCAGAGCAGGAGGAGAGATTGTTCCAGTTGGAAAAGGACCAACTGGTGCGGGTCATGTGTGCACACATCATCACACATAACACGGGACACGGAGAGAGGGGCACACACGAGGCAGATCTCATGAACACTATGGGGCACCCACAGCAGGTGACATTTCCGGCTCTGGGTGCAGAGGACAGGCGGGGGCCTCAGCTGTGCCCATTCGCAGCACAAGTGTCTTTAAGAAAAGCCCTCTCCCTTCCACCCGACCCTGGAAATGTCATCTGCCCATGTGCCTGGCATGGCAGCATGCCAAGTTCATGTCACTGAGAACTCCAGTTTCCAGCAAGGGCAGGGATGCTTCCTCCATCACAAAGATCAACTCCAGCCCGCAGCAAGGATCTGAATGCATCCCCCCCAAACCCTCCAGTGCCACCCTGACATCAAAGCCCCTAACCACGGACGTCTCCCCCATCAGAGGCTCACACAGTCAGTCAACTGGGGAACGAAATTCAAGTTGGCTTCTGGCGCCAAACCCCCCGGCCCACCCCAGGCAGGAGAGACACAGCTCTCGGCATCTTGGGGCCTGACCGCAGCTGTAGGGGTGGAGGGAGCAGGAGTCTCCCTGGCGTCAGGAACTGAGATCCTGAGACAGAGGCCCGGAGCCGTGGGGAGGCGAGCTGGGCTGAGTCCACCGTTTGGGTGCAGCCAGGGTGAGCTATGTGCAAACAAAGGGATTGAGGGAGCAGAGAACCCATGGTGCAGAGAGGGGATAATATACCCAGAGGAGCCTAGTGGACTACGTGATGGCCAGAGAGAGATGGCGGGAGGGGCTGCCCGCCCACCCTCCCTGACTCCAGCTGTGGGTGGGTGGGTGGGGGGGAGTCACTGTCACTGGAAGGAGGAGGAGTCAGGGAGCTGGGTTCTGCCTTTGGCACCATCAGGCCCAAGGACCCGGGACTTGGGAAGGCTGCGGCCGGGGAAACCTCGCAGCTGCCTGCTGCTCAGCCTCAGCTGGCCATAGATGCTAAGACCTGTCTCCTGGACCACCTGGCCCAGCAGGACTCAAGGGGCTGTCAGGGCCTGCAGTCAGAGCCATGTTAGAGGACAGCACTGGAAGACAAGCCCCAGACACAGGCTCCAATCCTGGCTTAGCACCCGACAGCCATGGGAGCAAGTCACTCAGTTTCTGTGTCCGGAGGGTCTTCATCTGCAAACTGGGGGGTTGGACCCTCTCCACCCTCACTCCTCCCTCTCCAGGCTCTGTGCTGGAGGCACAAACCATACAGGCTCTTAATTAAGGCTCTTAATTAAGGCACGGCCACTGCGCTCCAAGAGAGGCAGTTACAGGACTGGGGCTATCCAAGGAAGCCTCAGGGCAGAGTTGGGACAGGAGGCAAGGAGGGAGGCCAAAGTAAGCGAAAAGCACCTTCTTTCCTTCCTAATATGCCGTTGCTGGTCTGGCTCATCTCACACACTGTCTCAGGCATTATGCTCCATTCAAACAGGAGCGAGCTTTCTTATAAATCACCAAGCACAAGTTTAAAAAAAGAATCCAGCCCCCACTGCACTCCATGTATATATACTTTTCCCATGACCATGTCCTTCTACTCAGCAGATGCCAGCTACCTCCTGCAACCTATGCAGAGAGGGTGACAGGAACAAGGCTCAGCAAATATAGCAAGAGGAAAAAGTTACCCTCCAGTTCATATACATCATCTTTTGGATTAACAGAGTTCGTCATCCTTTAGCTTTAAAAAGTGAAAACATACATCCTTAGTTTGTCAGACTTGTGATCCACTTTGACCTCCAGATCAATAGCCTTCTGTGGCCAGTGTTTGATAGCAGTATTCGCATAGTTTAAAATGGTCTCTAAGCATGGTGTCAGTATTTGCCTCAAATCAAAATCACAAGGGTCAATTTCCCTATATAGCTAACACCATTTTGATTCCTATTACCATACCACAAAGCAGGCTTTTTGCATGTGGAGTCATTACAGTGATCATGAAGGAAAAAAAAAGCATTATCAATTCTATTAAGTAACAACAGACAACACAAGAACATATGGTATTAATAAAATGGGTGTCCTAAGTAGCGAGCAAAAAAGAAGGATGCTATCACAGCAAAAACAAACAAATAAATAACTTTGTAATGCACCATTCCTCTTTATCTAAGACAAGAGTGGAAATCCTAAAGCCCTTGAGAATTTCACTTTGCTACCTCTGTTCCAAAGTATTATAATGCCACCCAACTCCAGAATCAGCCCCACACCCACCAACAAGCTCTTCATGCAGAGAGGCCAGGCAGCCGGGCAGCTAAGAACACAGCTCTGGGGTGAGACTGCCTGGGCCCCAAACCTGGTCTGGTCACTCACTAAGCTTGGGCAAGTCATTTCGTTTGCTGTGCCTGCTTCTCCTCTTGTGTAAAATGGGGATAACTTCAGTGTCTCCCTTATGAGGTTGCTGGGAGGACTGAGAGAGGTGAGACATGGTGAATGCCCACAGCTTGAAAAAAAATGGAAACTATTATATATATATGTATATATATATATATATACTCTTATATATAAATTATAACTCATATACACAGAGTATGTGTGTGTGTGTGTGTGTGTGTGTGTGTATGTGTAATTAGTTTAATCTTCCAGGGTTTTTTTAAAGTCTCAGCCTAATGTGACAAGTGTCATCTGAGTAGAGCCCCTGTCCCCTGTAGCTATATGATTTCACTGACAAATTAGGAGGTGGCACCAAAGACCCTCTGGAATCCTGAGAGGGGACACTTACTGCCTGCCTTCTGTCTCTCAGAAGGAGCAACTGTGTACAAGGACAAGCTGGTGTCTCCGCTGTGCCAGATTGTTCAAGCTTCCAGCCCCTATCCAGGGTCCAGGACACACATACACATAACCACTGCACCTACCCACTGTCACGAGACTCACTCCTACCACTGGATATTTTCTATCCTATTCTCTGATAGCCTATTTCAATTTTTAAAAAAGATTCTATTTCACAACCCACTGATGGGCCCCCACCTGCGATGTGGAAACACTGCACTAATCAGACGGCTGCTGAGAAACCCAGCGCCTGCCCTTCTGCAACCGCCCTAGCCACCTTCCTCCCGCCTAGCACCTCGCGTGTCCTCTCCAGGATCCAGACGCTTCCTCCGTGCGGCTTCCAAGTTAACAGCTGTCGGCTCTGTAGTCTGGGCTGCTGCCTCTGCAGCAAGCTCAGGTTACAGCACTGGGCCCTCTTTGCTCATCAACATCCTTGGAGGGTGGGGGTGTTTCAGAGTTCTTTCCAACCTTCCTCCTCCCCGATGATGTGCTGCTCTTTAATACCCTCTTTACTGAGGGCAGCCTTGTAACTGTGCCACAAAATCCCAGGTGAAGATGCTCCTCTGCAAATCTAGAGTGATCGAGAGCTCCCCTGGCATTTTCACGGTGCCACAGCTACCTGACGGCACAGGTGTTTCACAGCCAAAGATTCCGAGGCATAGGGAGCTGAAGTGACCTACCCAAGGTCACCCACCTGAGAACTGTGCTTCCAACCCAGGTCTCCTGACTCTAAATCTGCCTGATCCACAGCTACCCTCTATAGTTTTTCATTTTTCTTCTCTCTGACCTTTTGGAAAAAAGGATGCATTGAAGGGTGTAATGCTTTGATCCTTTGTTTTTGCGTTACATAAGGAAAAATTTCCCGTGGCTTCACAAGCTCGTATCTCTCTCCAGTTTCCCTAATTCAGTCCCCACGCAGGCTGGCTCCTCGCTCGCACACTGCGGGCGCCCGGGGCTGCTGCCATCTCAAAGGCTACAGCGCTCGCCCTGCATGAGCCAAAGGTCTTACCCTCGGAATTGCCACCCTCTTCCTCTCTTCCTGGGAACTGGAGAAAGTTCATTTCTGAGCCTGCAGAGTTTGGTTTAAAGAGCACCTCCAATTTCTCCTTAGTCCCTTCCCACGGAGCCCAGCACCTATTGTTAGCTGCTCAACTGAAAATCCACTTGTTTCTTCCTGGGAGGAGGAGGCATTCTTTCTAATTTCTACAAGCTGGTGGCATGAGGGCTGGCGTTCTTTCTCCCCTACCTCACTTAGTCCATCTTTCTGGCTCTGCCCATCCCTGAATTTGAAAAATGAAGGCAAAAACATAAAAGCATGTCCTTTCTGAGTGCCTGCTATTTTGAAAGGGCAATAACAGTGACAGCTACCATTTACCCGGTGCCTACAACATGCTAAGCGGGGGCACTCCTCTGATGTTCACAGGCACCATGCAATGGTGGATGTGATTGTTTCTATTTTACAGATGAGGAAACTCAGGCACAGAGAGGGTAAGTTACTCCTGCAAAGTCACACAGCTAGTAAGTCGGTGGGCAGTGATCTGTCTACAAAGCCTGTGCTCTTCCCACTACCTCCTGCTGACCCCAACTCCCAGCACAGAATGAGGTGAGAGACAGCATCACAGACCTTTCCAAAGATGAGCATACCCCACTTTTCCATGTCACATGCCTCTGTGTGACACATGACCCATGTACACTCTATCCTCCTTGCCTCCTATAAAGGTTTCAACTTTTTAAATACAATGAACCTTAAACAATTGTGTTTGGAGGGACACTAAAAAATATTTACATCTCCCTTTCCTCCTGCTGCAAAAATGGGGGCCCTGGCAGGAGCTGGCCATGCCAAGGCAAGAGGCTGCCATGCAGGCCTCTCTGGTTTCGGCACTGACGTCACTGGGTCAGAGCCTGGGAAACCCTCCCCCACCCAAGAGAGCCTCAGGCTAAGCCCCGGGACCAGGGCCCTCTACCCCAAAGCCAACCCTGCTCAGCTACTCGCACCCTGCCCCAAACCCCCAGGAGTCAGCCAGCACGTGACCATGCAAGTCCCTCTGCCAGGCCTCCACCCAGGGGCAACCTTGCTCTCAGGCCCAGACCCAGCCTGAGGTGTCACATAGTGGCTTTGGGCATGAGGACAGGATGCAGGGACAGCAGGTGCTCTGCCTCTGGGCATGTGGCCACCCAGTCTGGTTTCACCCAGCACAACTCGTTTTTCAAATGTCCCAGTTTCAGCCTCCCTTCCTGCAACCCAGGCCAATTTGTCCACCTCCAGATTTCTGTCCCCTGCTCATGGGGCTTAGCTGGGCGATGGCTGGGCCTGCTAGGGGCTGACCTGAGCTAGAGTAGTTGCAAAGGCAGGAGATGGAGGAGGTGTCAGACGCCTTTCAGGATCTGTGCCCTGTCTCATGCACTAACACCCCCGGCCCACTAGTCAGACCCATTCTTTCTGCTATGGGCCTCGGGGACAGAGAGTACTGGGCTGTCCCTCTCCTGGCCTCCCTGGAGAACAGGCTGCCCTTGGCTACCCCACAGCCTGCTCTCTGCCCGGTGCCAACCCAGGGAGCGAGAAGTAGCTGCAGAGCACAGGGAGAACCCCGGAACGAAAGCAGATCTCCCACCCTGTCTCTTCCTGGCTGGCTGGGGCATGCGCCACTTTCTCAGTTGCTAATAATGCCCACAACGTGCAGGCTTCTTGTGGGGGTGGGGGATCAGAGCGCACAACAAGGTAAGTGAAGGAGCTCCCCAGCTAGCAGGGAAGGCGTGTACCACATGAGGCAGAGCCCACTGCCAGATGCATATGCCCATCAGCCAGTAGGCTCCATCCAATAAGCACCCGGTGCTGAACTCCCAGCTGGGGTTTCAAGGAAGAGACAGAGACCATTCCTGCCCTTGAGAAACACAGATGGTCACAATGTGCCACAATCCATGTCCAAGCAGGTATAAATGGGGCTTTAGGAGGCACAAGGGTGAGGCTTCCAGATCAGGGAAGGCTGCCAGAAGCCCACCCCGGCCTGGCAGCAGGATCTCGCCCTAACCTGTGCCTGACTTAAACTCTGGCTCAAACCGGCCCCGAAACCCAAATATGCTGCTCAGCTGAAGTTAAACAGCTCACCCTTCTCCCAGATTCTGATGACAAGTCTGCATGCTTAAGTTTCCTTTTGGGCTTTTCTATTTATGTTGTCATTGATTACTTTGCTCCTAACTCATCTGATTTCAATTTGGACTGATTTGATCCTAATTTTATTACCATGTAATCTGAATGCACATAATTACTGTAATTATGCTGCTGAGGGAAACAGCTCCTCCATAGTGGGAAGACCTAAATTTAGGGCTTCCTGGCAAGGACGGCCGTTGGCTGGGTGGACCCATAGCTACCTCAGAGCTGGCAGCCTCCAGGCGCACAGATGCCCTCCCCCGTCCACCCCCAAAGAGATGGGTATTTTGGGCTTCATCCCAGTGATGAGCTTGAGGGCCCCCTCCAAAGCCCCAGAAGCAAGCAGGGGTCTGAGCTGGGATTGGGGAGCCCACCCCTCTGCAGGCCCCAGCTCCTACCACCACCCTGCTGCGTGCACTCAGCAGCCACATGCCACTCACACCCGAGCGCTTGCTCCCGAGGGCACCCTATCTCTAGGGAGCAAGAAGCCCACTTGGGGAGCAAGAGGGTTCCCCGGTACAGGGCTGAGGAATGCAAGCTGTGATGGAAGGGCCTGCTGCCAGCATGCGACGTGCTCCCCTGCCCCCCTCCTCCTTTTTTTGAGACAGAGTCTCACTCTGTTGCCCGGGTTAGAGTGCTGTGGCATCAGCCTAGCTCACAGCAACCTCAAACTCCTGGGCTCAAGCGATTCTCCTGCCTCAGCCTCCCCAGTAGCTGGGACTATAGGCATGCGCCACCATGCCCGGCTTATTTTATTTATATATATATATATTTGTTTTTTAGTTGTCCAGCTAATTTCTTTCTATTTTTTTGGCAGAGATGGGGTCTCACTCTCGCTCAGGCTGGTCTTGAATTCTGAGCTCAAATGATCCGTCTACCTCGGCCTCCCAGAGTGCTAGGATTACAGGCGTGAGCCACCTCGCCTGGCCTTCCCCTGCCCTTTGAGCCCAGTCCAAGGCCTTCTCCTTCTCCATGAAGCCTCCCTGACCCTCCAGCCTTCTCTATACTTTGTCATTTATTCCACGCCAGAGGAAGGGACTTATTGTTTCCATTTTACAGATGAGGAAACTGAGGCACGGTGAGGTTCAAGACCACTGGGGAGTGGCAGTGAAGCTCTTAATCACCCATCACACTGCCCGCTGCCCTGTCCAAAAGCCTAGAGCCCATTACAAGATTGGTCTGCTGAAATTCTCCCCAACCTGGAGAATACCAAAACTCCTCTGCCCTGGGACCAGAAACCATGCTTTCTCCTCCTCCCGACCATCCACAGTGGGGAGGAGGTCTGAGTACCAGCTAGACAAAGGGAAAGGTGCTGTTTCACTCACCCTACTTGTGCTAGGGAGTCAGTCCCTGCAGCAGAGAGAAGGCAAGGCCTGCTAGGTCGGCCAGGAGGGGAGCCAGGAGATGGATGGGGCCAGTCTGCAGTCCTCAGGAAGAAGGGTTAGAACATGGAAATGATGCCCTCCTAGGGTGTGTGATTTATCTGTTGCATGCCCAAGGAGAGGAGAGTGGCAGGAAGTTACAAAGGCTGCTAATTATGAAGCACCTGCTGTATGCACCCAGAGCCTGGCACAATGATGAGGGGTGAGCTGGGGTTGTCAGGTCAACAGGAAGACAGAACGGGCCGTCTCCAGGTGCAACGCCCACTTTGGGAGACCCTGGGCCCAGAGGGTGGATGAGGGAACCGATGGGTGTGGAGTAGGGACTGATGGCCCACATGTGGGAGGGATGATGCGTGTGTTCCGTGCTACTTGAAAGGGTACAAACAGGAACACCTTGACATCAGGAGGCTGACTAGGACTTAGGAAAGCCAAGACTGTCTAGAAGTGAGCCCCCGGTTAGAGGAGATACCGGGGCAGAGGCACACCCCTGGGGCCTAGTGCCGTAGGCCCAAGGGCCCCCACGGTCCTGGAGCAGCTGCCGAACAGACCTGAGGGAGGATTGAGGCGAGGCCTTGGGCCCGGGGCTCCTGGCCCTGTGCTCCGCCACTGCTCCAAGCTGCTGATCTCCTGGGGGTCTTGGGGAGCCCGCAGTCACGGCTGCAGTGGCAGAGAGGCACCCCTTGAGCTGCAGCCTCCTAACAGCCAGCTGCCCCAGCAGGGAGCAGTAGGCCGGCAGTGGGACACAGGGCAGTGCCAGGGGGCTGCAGCCAAGAGAAAGGAGAGAAGACAGAAGAGCCGCCTTCTCATTCTGCCCATAGCGGGCTCTGTGCACTCAAAATCATGCCCCGGGCTCTGTGCACTCAAAATCATGCCCCCTGCAGACTGGATGTCAGGACACCTGAAGTCCCTGAAATGACTCCACGGTCTAGCCCACTACCCTGCTGCAGGGCCCCTCACTTCCCCTACACCTGACTCTCCAGAGACCACACTTCTAGGCTGAACTGCAAACCAGACACCATCCCGAGTCAGGGGCCTGCCACAGGAGTCCGAGGCCGGCAGTGTCTCAGAGCCTTGCTCCCTGCCCCAGGCCCCTCTGGCTCGAAGCTCCTCCACCCCCCACTCACAGACGCCAAGACGGGCACGGCCCAGCTCACCCCACCTGCCGCCACCCTCCCACAGGAGGCCCCGCAGCGCACTCACCCAGTGCAGGGACCCGATGCAGACCTTGGCGGCCATCAGGGGCACGGTGGGGTCCGAGGGCCGCAGCTTCGCACACTCCCGCAGCAGCGACACGGCGTAGGCCGACTGCAGAAGATAAAGCAGGATACAGCGTCTCTCACAGCCCTGGGCCTCTGCAGACTACGGGCCTCCTGCCTACAGCGTGGGGATCCCCCAGACACCCAGGCCCTGCTCTGGGCTCCTCTTCCCCCGAGTCAGGCAGAGGCCCAGTGGGAGGAGCCCAGGCCGAGCTGGCAGGCAAGTCCCTCCCAGGGCCTCAGTTTCCCCATCTGGAGAACAGAGGCTGTGACCCCTTGCCCTTAGGTGACGTGACAACAGCTGACATGACAAAAGATGGAAGCTTTCCAAAAGGGTTTTAAAGAACCACAGAAATCTTGGAGGCAGAAAGGGGCTCTCTAATGGGGACTCGGAGGCAGGGCCACGGCAGGGGTTGAAGGGACGTATGAAGGCTGGCAGGGGGAGCGGAGATGTCCCAGCTGGTGGAGCTGGACAGAACCTGGAGACAGGAATCAGGGGGTCCTCAAGGCTCCAGGGGCTCAGACTGGACCTGCTGAGGACGGCCAAGTGTGGGGTGGGGGCAGGAGAGGAGCACCCAGGGCCAGGCATAAGCCAGGGGTCAGCAAAATGGCCCACAGGCCAGATATGACCTGCTGCCTGTTCTTATAAGTAACATGTGACTGGAACACAGCCGTGCTCATTCGTCCATGTTGTCTACGGCTGTTTTCACGATACAATGCCAGTGGGATAGTTGCGTTAGACTGTTTGGCCTGCAAAGTCAAAAACGTCTACTATCTGATCCTTTACAGAAAAAGGGTCTGACTCCTGTTCTAAGTGCTTTGTAAATATTGTCATCTAATTTTCTTCTACAACACTCCCATGAGGTAGGTGCTAGGACCCTACTTTATAGACAAGGTGTCACATAGCCCAGTAAGTGGCTGCGCTGGGGTTTGAACACACACGATAGCTCTAATCACTACTCTATACTGCCTCTACGGTGACTGCGTTGGCCAGAGGAGGCCTGTTTCCCTGCTACACACACACACACACACACACACACACACACACACAGGGCTGGAACCTTCTGAGTCCTTCAAACCCGGCATAACCCTCCCAGTGTGGGCACCCTTGTACCCATGTGACCTCAGGTAGGCAGCTGCATGTGTGTGTAACTGACAATTCCCACGCACTGGGCCTTACCATGGCGCAACCTCCCCACCATTACTTAGCTGTCACCCTCCCAGCAACTTGGAGGTACCACTGAGGAAACGGAGGATCCAGAGGCTCGCCTGTCTGGGGGGGTGAGTGACAGGCAGAGGCACACTAGGATCCACTGGCCTGTGTCCACCCCGGCCCCCCTGCCTCTCTCCAACCGGCCCCCTCCTTTCCCTGCCATCTAAGGAAGAGTTTTCTCAACCCAGACGTGATAGATTTCCCTGGGCTCCGGCTCAGACTCACCAGGCCAACTGCAGGTGCCCTTGCCAAGGGTCTGCTCTGGGCCCAGTCCTGGGCTAGGGGTTGTGCAGTCACCGGAGGAAGGGGCAGGAGGCCATGGCCTTTGCCTCAAAGGGCCCACACAAAGGTTGGGAGAGAAGACCAAGGCCACCGTCCCCCATGGCTCTCTCAGGAAACTAGAGGGCAGGAGGCCAAGGACAGGAGACTGCACGGGGTGTGGGCTGGAGCCAGGGAGGCTGCGTGAGGTGCTCAAAGGCACTGTCAGGCCATCCACCTCCTCCAAGCCCCTCCAACCACACCCAGCAAGCCGCAGGCTTCTCCTCGGCCTCCTTCCCGGAACAGCTGACCTCTGGATCCTACTTCCCCTTCGCCATGCAAGATTCTCTAACTCCGACCCTGCACGTCCCCCTCCTCCCTTTGCACCCCACCCCCACGCAGACCAAAAAAACGCTGCTATTTAAGGAGCCATCTGAGGACTCAGCAGTCAGAGGAGCTGGCTCTTTTATTTTTTGTCATGCTGGTTACCTAGCAACGCAGCCAATGCAATTGCCGCATGGAGACCGAGAGAAGGAACGACCTAAATCACGCCGCAGAACGCATCCGTTATTCCTGCAGGTTGAAGCACTAGATATATTTATACGGCCCAGCTTCACCTTCTGGAAGGCCTTTTGGGCACAATCACAGGGACAGAACCCTGATTTCCTCCTCAGGCTTTTGGCAAAGGCAAGTCTGGCCACTCCTGGGGGCCGCCTGGAACAACCAGGCAGACGCTTAGGTGTGCAGGGCTCCCAAGGGAGGTGGAGTGCCTTCCAGAACAGTCTCCTGCTGCACCAAGCACATGGTGGGTGTAACTCAGGGTCTCCAGCCCATGGAGCCTCCTGCATGAGGAACTCTCCCTGCCTGTAAGCCCACGCCTGGGCGCACCTTGCTGGTCCGTGGAAGAGCCAGGCTGGGAAAGCAGCTCCCTGGATGCTGGGCTGGTGCCAGGCTGTGTCTGCACCTCTCTGGGCCCAGCTGCTCGGAGGTGGAACACCCTTACTCCCAGGCTACCATGACACCTTCTCCTGGGCCTGGAGAGAAGGAATTAAAGCCGACTTACTTGTGCAGTGCATTTTTCTGAGGAGGGGTCCTCAGCTTTCCTCAGCTCCTCAAAGGGGTTCAGGACTCCTCAAAGGGGTGCAAACCACTGCCCTGGCCCTGGCCGCTCCTGGCAAATGAGCACTATCACAGGACTAGAGGGGCTTCCTGTTTGCTGGAGGCAGGAAGACGCTGCCCATGCCACTGTGAGCTGTCTGCCTGGCTTCTGTCAAGTTCCATCCCCACTACCCCCAGCTGGCTGGTGCCTTCAAGACCTTCCTGTCCCTGTCCCTGCCCCCAGCACGGCGCATCCTCCCCGCCTCTCCACCTTTGCTTGTGTGGTCGCCTCTGTCTCCAGTTCCTTAGGAGGCTTCCTCTCATTTCCTGGCCCCTGGAGGGCTGGGGCCTCCCCCTGTCTGTGTTCTGAATTCTCCCTGAGCCTTGACAAGACCCTGCCCAGCACAGAGCCAAGTAGATCATGCTGTGACTTCAAGATGCTCCGGGAGGTGGCCGAAGTGATGGGGAAAGGGCAGGTTTGGGAAGACAAATGCCTAGCAGGGGGACCCTCGGCTGGACTTCCCAGCCTCTCCCATCTGTCAGGCTTCTGCACCCGCTCCCCCCCGTCCCCGCCAGGACCTGGCCCGCCTCGCTGCCGCGGCCCGAGCTAGCTGGCACACCCTCCGTGAGTGGAGGAGAAACTGGCAAGCCCGGGGCCCTCCTCAGAGACGGCTGTGGGACCAGAAATGGAAAGTGGCACAGATGGGCCGGGGGGCGAGGAATTCCCTCAGCCCCACGAAAGGGCTCTGGGTATTTACAGCTCTTGGAACAATTTGCAAGCTCATGCCACCTTAGTTCCTGCATTCGCAGCATCCTCAGCCCCGACACCCTCAGCACCCAGCTCCGGAAAGGTTTTCCTTTCATGGCACTGCTTAAAATAGAGGCTTATGTAAGTGCAATTCTGAGCTGAGGAAAAATGAGGGGTGCTGCCACAGGGGCAGGTGGACGGAGAGCAGTGGCATACCCCAGTGCCCCTTGCTCTGGCCCATGCCCCCAGGCCCTGTCCCTACCCAGGACCCCCGGCCTCATCCACCAAGCAGTGTTCTCCCAATACTCACTTGTGGGTGCTGCTGCAGCACTCCACCCTTCAACCCCTCTCTCTAGGCAGGGGCCCAGTCCACAGGCAAACCCGTTCCTGACACTCAGTGGGCAGGAAGAGAGCCACAGTCCAAATGCAACAATGTTCCCCTCACCTGGACCCACACCCCGTGCCCGTCTCAGGCAGTGAAATCTGTCAATTCACCAGCAGAGGTGCTTGGTGCCCGTTTGTGCACATATACCCACAGAAAAGCATGCACAGACTCAACACCCGCACCCGGCGCACTCATGGCTTGCACACGGACTGGGATTCACACACGGCGTCTGTGTGGCCCTCCCCACGCCCCGCCCTCTCCTGGAGATTCGAACCAGCTGCTGGATAACCAACCACCCCTGTCGTCTCCCCAGCACCTAGTCCAGAACAGCCCTTGTCTACCTCCGGAAGGGACCCACAGAGAGCAGAGCCCCCTGAGGGTAACCCCTGACACCCCTGTGCCTTACCTTCCCACAAGCCACCATGGAGAGGGCCACCTGGTACCAAAGGTGAAATTCTCCAAATGCAAACTTCATGGCTCGCTCCAGGCACTGCAGAGGGCAGAGGGGGAGACAGTCAGACCTCCCCCTCGGGGTCCTCCTGACCCCTTGAGCCATCCCACACTCTTCCAGAGTAGTGACTGCCCAAGCCACTGCCCTCGGGAGGCTGCACGAGGTCCACACTTGGCTCCTGTTGGAGACCCAGGGGTAACCCAATCCCTGTCACCATCATGCTGTGTGACCCCACACAAGTCTCTCACCCTCTCTGACCCTTAGTTTCCACCTCCATAACATGTGAATGATCTTACAGGAGAATGGCAAAAAGTAAATGAAAGAAGATTTGTGAAATGGCCTTTGAAATGTAGATATCCAACAAAAATAACAGCTAACAGTTATTATTATCGTGCATGGCCCCGTTCTCAGCTTTTTGCATGTACTCCTCCTAACGACCTGGTGAGGGGGGTTCTCTAATTACCCCCCTTTCACTGATGAGGGAACTGAGACTTGTCCAACTTGCCAAGGTCACAGGCCCAGCGAGTGGCAGAGCAGCCTGGCATGGAAGTGACAAGTGGAGAAGGGGGAAATGGTGGCTCCATTGGGGTTCCTTTACCCACTGCCCGACTCCCGGGGAGCAACATGGGCTGCACAGCCGCCATACCTCTGAGAGCATGACGTACTGCCCCCTCCTGCCCAGCGTGATGCTCAGGAGGTCATAGATGGCCACAGCATTCTGCAGGCTCACTGTCCGGTCCTCCTCCTGCTCTGGCACCCGGCTCAGCACCACGTCCCGAGTTGCCTGTGGTGGGGGACATTGTTTAGGAAAAAGTGAGGACAGAGGTAGGCATGTATCTGTCCCCACACAGCTCCCACCTTGCTGGCCCAGTCACTACCACCTTTTCGTCACTGGCCCAGGCTAGGCAGGTGGCCACACTCCTGGAAACAGCCTTTTCCCATCCCCACGAAGGCCCTCTCCATAGGGAGAAAACCCTCACCCTTAGCCCAGGCTGGGGTGAGGGAGCAGCTCTGAGGGCCAAGTTCCAGGTACTCAATTTGTTATTCTGGAATATCTCAAACCTACAGAAAAGTTGCAAGAACAGGACCATAACCATAAGCCCATCATCAATTGTTAACGTGCACCACAGTTGCTTCCTTCCTCTCCATTCGTAATTATTATTGTCGTTCTCACTCCAGGACCCTGCCCTGTACTCAGGTGCTGTCTCCTCAGTCTCCTTTCACCTGGAAGAGGCTCTCGGCCTTTCCCTTCCACGACACTGGAGTTTTTGAGGCGTGCAGGCCAGCTGCTTTGTGGAACGGTCCCTGGTGTGTTTGCAACACTCCACAACTACAGCAAGAGCCGCAGATGTGACCTGAAACCGCCAGGACCAGGTCAGGTGATTCTGCTGAACCCCCAGGAGGGAGTGGGCTGTGGCTGGCCCCTCAGTGTCCTCTTCCCCCCAAATCCCCCAAGGACCCTCCAGGACTCCTGCCCATCACCCCAGACTGTATCCTCGGCTCCTGCCAATCACAGAACGCTCCTCTCTGCCCCTCCCCAGGGAAAGCTCCCCCACCCCCAAGGACTCATTCTTGGCGCCCAGCACTGGGGATTTCAGTAGCTCACAGAGTTGCCAGATGGCTGCTGGGGGTGGGGGAGGAGAGGGAAATGGGCTTTCTGAGTAGGAGATTCTGTATCATTTGAAGAGGGGAGCTCTTCATCACCAAGTCTGAGCCCCCCATCAAGGATGGGGGACCCTTTGTTTGTCCTGTGCTCTGTGGCAGGTGGCCCACCCCCTGCCCACCTCCACACCCTGGGGGCAGCATTTAGGTGGGGGCAGAAGAACAGGGCAGAGAGGGAGAAGCTGACTAGCTGAGGGAGTTGTGGGGGGCTCTGAGCAGGCGGGGGACGCTCTAGGGCCTGAAATGACAGTCACTGCCCCACCCCGCACCCCCACACCCCAAGGGCTGTGCCTGAACTGGAGCAGAGCTGGGCTCTGGCCAGATGCTCCTGCCGGCTGCTCTGAACATCCTCCCTCCTCCTGGCCACCCCCCTCCGTCCAAGGGGGCTCCTTCCTGCCCATTCTCCCTTGTCTAAACCTCCTTCCCTGCAACGGGACTCGCCCTCCTCTGCCTCTCCACACTGGACCTCAGGGCCAAGGACATGGCCCTCCTGACAGAAGAAAAAGGAGCTGCTGGCCCTAGAAATCCGGGTCTCCCTCATCACATCCCTACGATCCCTCCTGTCCTCAGCTGGGCCTCAGGGCCTCCCTCCAGGCAGGACGACCCTCCCCTCCTGCAGGTGGGGGCTGGCGAGGCAGAAGCCCAGCCGTAGGACTGCAGATTCTGGGTGTGTCCCACAGTGCAGGGGTGAAGTGCATTCTCCTAGTGGCCTCTGGGAGCCAAACGCATCCAAGACCCAAGGAGGTGACTCGCCCTGGGGACACCTTAGTCAACAAGGCAGACTTAAGGCTGGGGTGCCAGCGGCTGCCCCTCCAGCCACAATCGATGAATGCTACCCACTCCCCCAAGGACATGGACGGGCCCAGAAGAGGATGCCGGGATGCCCGGAAATCCCAGACAGGCTGAGCACGGTGCCAGCCTGGGGAATGGGAGCTGGCCAGGAGCTCCAGAGGGTTGAGGGAAAGGAGTGGGGAGGGAAAGTGCCAAGAAATCCCCTCCTTCCCATGCGATCCACCCACACAGCCACCAACAGGAAGAGAAGAAACCCAGGCAGAGTCTTGGCAAGAGCTACCTCACGGAGCCAACCAGGGACACAACCCTCGCTCTGCCCCCCCAGGGGACGTACCTCCCCACTCCTCCAGCCCCAGCAACTCCGCAGCTCTGCCCACCCAGGGCGGGGCCCACAGAGGCAGGGCCATGCCCGATGAGGAGACAGAGCCTGGCCTCAGGGGGACCAGGAAGCAGCAGCAGTGCGGGACGCACACACCCGAGTGGAACCCGGCCTGGGAGTCTGGTGAGAGAGACAGGTCTTGACAGCAGGGGATGGGGCCCGGCCATCTATGGGGTGGCCTGCCTGCAGAGGTGGGAGGAAGCCTGGCTGGGCATGTCCAGGGTCTGGGGACCAGCTCACCCGTGCAGACCAGTGGCCTTTAGGGGTGGTGAGCAGCCAGCGTGACCATGGCCCTGAGGATCGAGTCTAAGCTCCTTTCTGTAGCTACCCGCCTGGCTGGCACTCCAGCCACAGGGAACTCCCTGCTGCTTCCTACTGTCACCATGGCCTCTCTCTGGTACTGCTGTGGCTCCCTCTGTCAACCTGGGCACCTCCTGGTTTCTCACAACCCAGCTCGGGGGCCCCTTCCTGCAACAGCACCCAACTCCCCTCCCGCATCTCCCAACGCTGGCCTGTGCGCTGCCCCAAGCCCTGGCCCCGCACCCCCCACCGGAGCTTGCGGCAGGGCCGCGTCTCGCCCCCCTCCAGACGCCTGGCCCCTAGCACAGCCTCGCACACACAGCTGGACTCAGTCCACCTCTGCAGAGCAAGTGACCCTTGAGAGAGAAAAACTGTGGGCCTGACCCGTCCACCCTGGACTTTGACCTTTAAGAGAACAGTGTACGGATGTGTGCCTGGTGGGAAAGGGGTGGATTTCCAGAACTGGGCATGAACTAGGTCAGAAGAACAGGACCGGAAGAGAGGGGCGCAGAAGCACAAATCCTCAGGCTGGTGACAGCCCCCAACAGGCAAACAGCAGGGTCCTAGGGATATATGAACTAGTGCCTGTGCCAAGACTGAAGCGTGGTTCCCCAGAGAAGAGCTGGAAGCAAAAGTCAGCCCAGCAGCTACGATGGCCCCTGTGCAGTGCTGTGGTGGATGGGACAGAAAGAAGGTAGGTGAGGGGCTAGCAGGGGCTGGCAGGCAAACCACAGCAGAGGAGCAGCTCAGGGGCCATAGCAGCCTGGAGACCAGGGCTTCACACCTCCCCAGCACCCCCAGCCTCCTGCTCACTCCTCCCTGGGCTTGCTGCCCTCAGGCCACACGGTGCCCCCCAAGCTCCAGCAGGGCCCCAACTACTCCCAGCCACATTCTTTCCCTTCTATCAATTTAAATGATCTCAGAATCCTGCTTTCACCAGAAAACCTTTCAAATCAAATGCAGTTGCAGATGTGAACATGATTATGACCCTTAATGTAATACACAAAGGCTAAACCTTCTGGTCCTCCTCTTCCTCCTCCTCCTTGCTATTCTCAGAACAATGGCAGAATATTCTCCCCTGGTTTCTCCCTGCCTAGCGCTTACTGCCATAACCCGCATGCCCACCCCCAGGCCCCCAGGTCTGGGGATGCACTGCTCTCCTAACAGTGCATTAAACCCCAGGCAGGGCTCACGCAGTTGTCCTGCTCCTAGCCTCTGTCCCTCTGGCTGCTCTCCCAAGGCAGCCTCTCCTAGACTAAAGAACATTCCCAGCAAGGCTTCTGGCAGGTCAGAAGAGAGGAAGCCAAAGAAACAATGCTCCTCCCATATCCCTGCCATCCAAAGCTCCGCATTGCCAGCATGACCCACTTCTGGTCTTTGGACAAGTGTCCATGAAGCAAGTATGGGGCCTCATAAAAAGCCCACGAGGGGATCTCCATTTCCCCAGGGAAGGCTGGCCCACGTGGAACCTAAGGCAGGGGCTACTCCTAATCAAACAGCCAGCTCTATGTGCGCACCAGGGCTAACCTCTTAGTAGCTGAATTTTCACATCCACTATCTCCTCTGCCCCCAGGGTAACTCCACAGAGGGGGCAGGAATAAAACCACTGATCCCCATTGCAGATGAGGACACTGAACCCCCAAAGGTGAACTGCTTTGCACAAGATCCCAGGGAGTTGAGGCTGAAGCTCGAGGCCAGGCCAGGACTGCTGCCGCTTGCCGGATCCTCTGCCAGCTCTTCCCGACCTAGCAGGATGCAAGCCCAGTTCTGACCCCCTGCTGGCTGCAGGGCCTCAGATGGCCCTGACCTTCCCTTCTGCCCAGCCCTGTTTCTCCTCTCTAAACCTGGACACAGTGTAAGGGAAGGAAAGGGAACTCGCTTGTGGCACACTTTCTAGATAGCATCTCATAACTCTCACAATGACCTTCTCATGTACTATCGCCCTATTGTATAGCTGAGGACTGAGTGAGGCCCAGGGAGGCCAGGTAAGCTGCTCAACACATACAGATGGGGGCTGGGACCCAAAGTAGGACTGGACCCCTATGGGCCTTGGGTGCTGCTTCTCTGCAAAGAACACGCTCCCTGGGCAATGTGTCCACAGCCCTGCTCAGCCCCATTCTAAGAGGCAGCCTCTCCACTGGCCAAGGAATGAGCCTCAGGGGGCCTGTTGCTGATGCTCCCCAAAATCACCCTGAGAAGAAGTCTCATGGCAACACGTGCCCAACGGCTGCCCCTCCCTGGAGGATGCTGTGATGTTGTGCTAGCGCCGTCGCCCCCTCACTGGCAGCTGTAATTACCACCAGCTCTAGAGCTGCCAGTTCACAGAGGTGAGAAACAGCATGCTCTGCGACGTGTCTCATCCACCCAGCCACCCCGGCGGGGGCCACGCTAGGCCCAAGCTTCTGCCGCATCAGGCTCCTGCAGCAGAAATCACAGCTCTTCCTGCCAGCGAGGGAGAGAGGCTCTCCCACCTCTACTGAACCAAGGGCTCTGGGCTGGCAGTGTCACTAGACCCTTTACCCTTGCAGCCTTCAGCAGAGCAAGGCCTTGTGTTGGAGCAAACCACGTGCCAAACACTGGAACAATCTGTGCTCATCTGCTGAGTTCCTAATGGAATCAAGCCCAGGAAACGCCTTTTTTTTTTTTTTTAACCGAATGGTATCAATTCATTTATCTTCTTCTGACCAGATCTGACCCTAAATGTCTTAAAAAATAACTAGATTAGAGCCAAGTATTTATCAGGACAAAATGAACACGTATTGAATAACCAAAATGTATCAGCCACCTCTGTGTTTATTTTCTACTTAATACAAACTCCTGCAAAAGAGGTCTTATTAACTCCATTTTACAGATAAGAAAACTGAGGCTTGGTGGGTAAGAAATTTGCCCAGGTCACACAGGTTGTAAATGGCAAATTCAAGATTAAAATTACCAGATGCCCAGCACTGGGCATAGCACAAAGTTAGTTTGATAACCTGCGGGGTCCCAGTCCCCAGAGACCCCCATCTGCCCACCCTCACTCAACACCAGGTCTCTGTTTCCTTTCCATTTCCAAGAGGCTACATAGGCAGCAACTTCTTCCTCCTCTAAACGAAACAGGGATCCAAAGGTTCAGTTTGCTTTAGCACATATTTTTGGCCCTGGACCAGTATTTTCGAAATGACAAAGATTCCTGTACCTTCTAGATCCCCAACTATTTGAGAAAACAAGCTGGTTTGATATATGGTTCCCTTCAAAAATAAGAATTTACCTTAGGGGTTTAGCGGATTGGGATAATTTGTTCTGGTTTGGGGACCAGGATTCCCTCCACATCCCTGGACACACAGTATACTAGGTGGGAGTACATTTGGGTCAGGGACAGAGATTAAACTGTTCATCATTGTGTCTACAGTGCTGATCATGGTCCGGCTGCTCAAACACGATGACATGAATGGATGGTTGGTGGGTGGATGAATGAATGCACTGATGGATGGATGAATGGGTGGACGGATGGATGAATGAATGAACGTGAGTGGATCACGGGTAGTTGAATGGGTAGATGGACGGATAGATGGATAAATGAGTGAGTAGATGTAGATGGATAGGTGGTGGGTGAATGGATGGATGGATGAATGGGAGGGTGGATGGATGAATGGGTAGTTAGATTGGTGGATGAATGGATGGTGGATTAGATTTTCAAATGTCCTTTTGGCTCCAAAGACTCAAAACTGGGTCCAAAACACAAAAATTCTTCAACTAGTTATATTTCATATCCCTTGCATTCCTGTGAAAGCATTAGTAAGTTTTCTAGCTACCTCTTGAAAGACAAGGGCTCCTTCATCCATTCTGATCACACAGTCAGCTATAACACAAACCATATCCAAGGCACCACCCCCACACCATGAAGCTACTCCTCTGAGTTCCAACCCAGAATACAGGGGCTGCCATGCTCAGGAAGCCTACAAACACCGCTTCCTGGAGCACCTGCCTTGGACATCCTGGAGGTGGGAAGCAATGGAGATTATGCATCCTGGCTTGGCTCTGCAGCATAACGAGTTCTGCAAGTATTAGAAGAACCCAGGTAGCAGCCAAGACCACCACCTACTGTGCTAGAGGCTTCTCCCCAAACCCATGATCTGCAGCCAAACCCAGCCACCATCCAAGGGAGATGAGAAAAGCCCTGCAGGTACATGGAGGCCAGGCAGAGGGTACATGGGAGGCTGGCATAGTGGAGCCCACCCCCCAGTTCTCTTGCTGACCAAGAATGTGACTGGTGGGATGGAGGATGCAACACAAAGGCAGGTCTGGTCACTCTGAGAAACTGTTCCAAGCCAGAGTCCAGATCTAGAATGCGGGTAGAAAGGCCTCTGCAGATGAGACACTAAAGCTAAGTCCATCACTGACACTCTCCCCCAAATTCCTCAAGTTTCTAAATGTCTGATGGGCTGTGTGTGAGCCAAGGGGGGACAAACCAGCCAACCCCGTAAGTGGTGCCTCCTCCTGGCCTCAGGGCAAACTGTGTCTGAGCAGTTCCTCTGCCCCTTCCTGTGCTTTATATGCCACAGGGAATTTCCCAGGACTCCGCCAGCTGACCTGGACCCTGGTCTCCCAGGCAGGGTGGCCGCCCAACGGTCCGGCTGCCTGCTCCTGTCTCCCTGCCCAGAGCCCTGTGGAGCCAGAGGTGACCCAACAACCAAAGCTCTCTGAACAAGCCTTAGCATCACATGGTCCCACACGTCCAAAGGAACATTCGTTTCTGAGTGCTCAGGGATCCAGCTCATGAGCTCTTGTTTTTTGTTTGTTTTTTTTCTTTTTTTGTTTTTTGTTTTAGAGACAGAGTCTTGCTCCATCACCCAGGCTAGAGTGCAGTGGCATCATCATAGCTCACTGCAACCTCAAGCTCCTGGGCTCAAGTGACCCTTCTGCCTCAGCCTCCCAAGTAGCTGGGATTACAGGTCCATCTTACCATGTCTGGATAATTTTTCTTTTTTCTTTTGTAGAACTGGGGTCTCGCTCTGTTGCCCAGGCTATTCTTCCCCAACTCCTGGCCTTAAGTGATCCTCCCACCTTGGCCTTCCAAATTGCTGGGATCACAGGTGTTAGCCACCATACCTAGTCTGGGTCTTGTTTTCTTAACCTCTACATCCACACGCTGCTCTCAGAGGCATTGCCTTAAAAAAAACCTATTTATCGATCTGTGGTTCCCAGCTCACCAGTCCTGTGCTGAGCCTCCAAAGTACCTTGGCACTGGGAAAACATTGCCTGGCAGCGTGGCCACCATGCACGTGCATGTGCGTGTGTGTATATGCGCGCATGTGTGTGTTTACCTTGTCTAAATGGTCCTTCACATGTGCTGTGTCCAGTGCACCTTGTCCCCTTCTCTGCTCTCTTCCCCTTCACACACGGATGCCATGGATACTGTACTTGTTAATTCATTTATTGCCCAATTCCCTCCCTAAAATGTAAGTTCCATGAGGACAGGGACTTTCCTCTGTTTTGTTTGTTGCAGTATCTCTGGTGTCCTGAACAGGGTCTGGCACAAACTAGATGCTCAAGAAATAGTTGTTGCATGACCGAATGCATTTCTTCTACAGGCACACCTACCTCTGTGAGTTACTGCCATCTGCAGGGATTGGGCCCTGGCCCTCTGCTAACGAGCAGCAGAGCTGGGACCTGAATCCAGGCCTTCTGCCTCCAAAGTACACCCTCCTTCCACTCCCTACCCCTACTCTCATGTCTGTCACAGAACCCAGCACAGAGCTGCTCAACACACACTGCTGACTTGTTGATAATCATCTTTTTAATCTCCAAAGACGCAGGTGGGAACTCGTGCATTCAGTCCCTACTACTCATTTGGGGTAGAATAAACATTGTGTTTGGGCCTCCAAAGACAGCCTTGTGCAGCAAAACCCAAACCTAACGAGCTATACTCACCCCCACTATGGGGGAACAGGCCCAAGAAGCACCTGCTTTAGGGGACATCTCTGGGAGACGGAGCTTGGCCAGGCCATGGGTGGCTGTCCCTGAGCTCCACATCCCTACCCACAGGGGCAGAGGGCCAGAGGAACCCGAGAAATGCCCTAGAGCTTACCATGGACTCGCTGATGAGGAGGAGCAGGAGGGCTTCCTCGATGTTGTCTTTGGGGCAGTAGAGGCTGAAAGACACAAACGGCCCAGCTTGAGCACACCCCTCCCCAGGCACCACCTCCGGTCCACCAAGCCAGCCCTTCTGTCCCGGAGTCAGCTCTGCCCTGTAAGGTGACCCTCTCTGCATAATGCATGGGCACCAGATACCACCTGCAGCTAACAGGCCCCAGAGTTAGGAATCTGCTGGGCCGGAGTCCTGCAGGTGCTGCTGGGGAAGATACGCCCCTTCCAGCACCAGTACCGCAGGAGGCGGCTGGGGCGAGGAGCGCGGAAGAGCAGGAATGAAGTGCCACCAGTGGTCACAGACCCTGCCTTCGATTGCTGGCACAAATGAGAGGGAGGTGTGTCAGACAAGACTATTAGGAAGATAGGTAACCTCCAAACAATTTGACTTCTGGGTGCCTTCTAGGATTCTCCCCCTAACTTATACCCCAAGACCTGCCTTATCCAATCTATGTGGCTCCAGCTGAGACCAAAGAGCTTGCCTGGTGGTCAGTGGGTGGAGACCAGAGGAGAACTCAGGGCAGAGGGAGCCACCGGCAGGGACTAAACCCTGCGCAAGGTGCAAGAACTGGCATGGCCCAGTGGGCAGCTAGAACTTACTTGTCTCCTTCGTAGAGGTGAGGTTTCCGCAGGGCCTGCATGACGAAGGAACTCTCCTCCTTGCCCATGAACTCGGGCAGAGGGTGGGACAGGGGACTCCAGTAGCACTCCTCACTCAGGGAGTGCAGCAGGACCCCCGCCAGGTGCTTGGCTGCTATCTGGTAGAGAGAGAGGCACTCAGACCCAGGCACTGTGTTTGGCTCTCCCCTGGAATGGTCTAGAAAGCCCTCCATGCGCTACCCAGCCAAATCTGGCCGCCTTGCAATGTGCTGCCCCTCTGGAGCCCCCGTCTCCCCGACTCCCAAGGAGTCCTCTCTCACTTCTCTCCGTCCTCCCAGCACTGAGGCTCCTGCCCCTCTCATTGGCAGTGGCTGGCTCCTACTTTATTTTTTTTCTTCTCTTCTCTCCTACACAAGAGGTGTTTTTCCTCCCTCTCCTGACCCCTTGCAGCCCAGCCCAGCTCTGAGTGTTCACAGGCCCTTGCAGCGTTGGAAAAGAGCATAAAGCCTGGGCACAGGCAGCTCTCTCTACTGATGCCTTTCGGATACTTGGCTGAGAATTCTAGTGTGAGAAGCAGCTGTGGCTCTGACTTTGGATGAACAAAGGCCTAGGAGAGCAGGCCTGTGAAGGGGCAGGCAAGCAGGGTCATTGTCATTTATTAGGATCATAAACAAATCCCTAAGAATCACCATACCGGCTTGCTAGGGAAGGGCCGGCAGCAGATCTGAACTCTGAGCCAGGCCAGGGCCTACTGCAGGACTGTGATGAGAAGGATGCTGAGGGCCAGGCCAGGGCCTACGTGCAGGGCTGTGATGAGAAGGATGCAGAGGGCCAGGCCAGGGCCTACGTGCAGGGCTGTGATGAGGATGCTGAGGTGCCTTCGGGCTTAGTGGAAGGAACGCTGAGGCTGGACACTGACATCTGCCACGAGCAGGGGAGAGTGGGAGCAGGCATGTGACCTGCTGCTGTCCCTGGTCAGGGGCCACCTGCAAAGACTTCTGCTGCTTCCCATGGAACCTGTCCCCCAAATAAGCCAGCCACAGCCAGCACCCCAGGTTACCACTTTGAAGTTCTGAGTTGCTTTGGTCTCCACAGTCCGCAGAATCTCCCGGAGCTCTCTCATGCCCTTCACGACATTCCTGGAGGGAGGACAGCAGAAGTAGAGTCGTCACCAGCCAAGCTCCCACAGAGACATCCTCAGCCACCTGCACGCCCAGGAGGAGCTGCCTGCTGGCGTTTTATCTGAACACATCCAAAAAGTGGAGTGAAATGTCGCAGATGTAACACCAGGACCCTCGAGGCTCAGAACACCCCTAACGAGGAGGGCACAGCCCTCAGCAATGTGGGCTGGTATTCGAGTGTTTCAAACAAGGTGTCATCTTGGCCCAAGAGCCCTGGGCTGGCATCAGACTTTCTGACCTGAGTCAGCCTCAACTTCTCCACCTTCACCTGCTACATCTGGTCAACACTGGAGTCCGTCCTCACCCCGCAGTCCCAGCTACCCCAGCCCGGACTAGCCAGTTTCGCCCCCTCTGGTCAGCACTCTGTGTCTGGAAATAATTTCCAAGCTTGTCAAAGTGTGACCCACAGTGAGAAACACACCTCACACCGCAACCCAGTACATGCACACACTTGCCTCACGTAGAACTGAATTTTCTCGACATGCTACCTGTCTCTACTACGCACAATCAACACTGCTATTTTCTATTTTACTATTGCTATTTTCTATTTCCCCGACCCACCTGTTGTGACATGATGGCTGCAGCCCACTGAATAGATATTGCAACCCGCTAACAGGCTGTGAAGAACTTCTGCCACCACCCCGAGGGGTCCAGCTGACAGGCGAAAGTCAGCTGGATGCCCCCGACGTGAGCCCCCGTGGTGGTCCCCAGGGCTTATAGAATCCAGGCCAGGCCCCCAGAGCAGCTTCCTGGTGCTGCGTGGCCTGCCCCTCACCCCTCTCAGCTCAGCCCCAGCACTCAAGCAAGTCCTTTCTGGCTGGCCGCAGCTCCCTGTGTCACGTCTTGCATGGGCGTCCCCCACTGCCCTAAGCAGTCATTCCCGTTCATCCTTCAGAAACCAGTGCCAATGTCACTTCCTCCAGGAAGTCTTCCCAGGTCCCTCCCCATACTGCCCTGCCTGCCTGTGTCTTACACCCCATTAATTCCTCTTCTGAGGCAAGTGTGGTCCCTCGAGATCAGTTGCCACCTGCTGGCCCCGCACACTGTGGCCTCCTGAGGGCAGGGCTCATGTCACCTGTTCCGAGGCTCAGCCCCAGCAGCCCCTGCTACGCGGCGTGTGCTCTGGCAATGCCCAAGGAGGGCCCCGCTCATTTGCTTAGGATTCCCGGGGTCACACCACACAAGGGACAGTAGAGGCTGCCGGCCAGCAAATTTAGCAAAGGAAAGATCGATCACAGAAGGTGAAGAGCCAAAGCTGGCAGCCAGGGAAGTCACACGAGCCCCTCCTTCAACTTTCATGCACAGGACGGTCTCCTGGGGGCTTTGGGGCCTGGGAGTCCTGAAAGAACAAGTTTGCAGATCAAGCCCTCTTGCCTTCTGGGAAGCTCAGCTGCAGAAAAGCTAGCCCAAAAGGTGCAAACTACTGACACTATGAACATGGATCCCTGATTTTACAGCTGAGAATGGAGACAAATTCTACTCTGGGCTAGAACTGGAGTCACAGTGACCTACCCTGGCTGGCCCAGTGCTCTGAAGAACTGGGACTGGTGAGAAGGATGGAAACCTCACCCCCCCCCAGAGACGTTTCAAATCCATGTGGCCCAGGGAAGCGGCTCCCCTCTGTGGGCCGCAGTCTACTTGTCTGTGAAATGAGGATTTCTAGCTATAGCTCAGTGTCCCCGGGCTTCTGTTGTCTGCATACAACATTTACCTTGTTAATTCTAGCTGCACATCACCAGTGCTGTTACTTATGTAATACTTTTATTTACATCTTCTTTTTACTTCAGTAGACAGCTCACCTTAATTAAAAAATGCCTGACATCATGGGTTTGGTGTGCTGATTTTTTTTTTGCCAATAAATATTAAATATAGGAGTATTTTTTAAAAGTTAGTGTGTGTCACTTAAAACCACCTGTATATTACTAGAGTTTCTTGTCCCACACTCTGAGAAATGATGGTTTAGACCAGAGGGTCTCAAAGTGTGGTCCCTGGACTAGCAGCATCGGCAGCCCAGGAACTTGCTAGAAATGCATATTCTCAAGACCCCGCCCCAGACCTGCGGAATTGGAAACCGGGGGCGGGGGGGGGGCAATCTGGGTTTGATCAAATCTCTGCGGAGCTCTGATGGACACTCAAGGTTGAGAACCACTGGTTTGGATGATGCCCCAGTGCCTTCTCGTTCTCCTAGTCTAAGACACCAGGGTTCAGAAGGGACGTTCTCACACGAAGACCCCAGCCATACAGCCAGATCCTAAGTCTGCAATCTTGGGACAGTGAGGCAGCCTCTCTAAGTCCCAGTCTCTCCTCATTTCCTCATAGTGCCATCAGGCAAACAACATACATGAAGCCCCAAGCACACCCAGGCCTGTGGCAGAGGCTCACTAAATACTATTTTCCTTTCTACTTCTAATTTGAGTCTTTTTTAAATAAAAAAAATTTTTTTGCCCTACAATTGCATCAGAACTAATTTGAGTCTTAAAGATCTTATTACTCATGTTTTAACTGACATGATTTTGCATGGAAATCCAGGAGCTAATGAGTAGGGGGAAGGCACAGAAGTGCCTGGGGGACCCTCCAGGTTTGTGTCCACCGTTCTTCTACCAGCCCCAACCCACAGGGGACATAAGAACAGGAGTCCCTGGTAGATAAACCAAGCCCAGGGACAGAATTGGGACCCCCCATGAGAAGCATCTTCAGTCCCACTGAAGCCTCTACTTCAGAAAAGAACCCAACACTGGCTAGACAGAGGCCACAGGCGAGGCCAGGCCAGCTGCGGGGACAGCCCTGCACCAGCCACCACCAGCAGAGAGAAGGAAGACACAGACTTCACGAGCTCCCAGCAGAGAGAGGAAATGGCTGACTCTAGGACCTCATTCTGCACAAGGGACCCGCCCTGGCAGTCGGGCCACACAGCCACAGACTGAGGCAGGCTGGACCCTGGAGCTGCCCCAAGGCCCCACGGCCCAGAGGAGGCTGGCAGCTCCCAGGACCTGTGGGTGATTTTCCACTCTGCAGGCTACCTGCCAGCCTCCTCCCTGGCAGCCTGGACCTGGCTGCTACCAGGAGGCCAAAGCCAAGAGTGACTGTGGCCCCTTCTTCCCAGTCTACTGCAAGGACTGGGCTCTCTGCCACTGACAGGCGAACTCAGCCTTTAGACTTCACATCGACACTCCTGGGCCGGCAGACGGGCAGCGCCTGGGGGCTGGGCAAAGTGGAGGCTCTCAGGGACCTCGCCACCCCCAGCACACACACAACAGAGGGATCAGCACTGCATTTTAACCAGATCCCGGGTCCAAAAGTTGTGTCCTTTCACTATTTCAATTCTATAAGGGATTGTGGCATATAAAGAAGCTCCCTGGAATTCTTTAGCAAAGCAAATAATCACCCTCAGACATGTTTGGGGTAAATCCCAGTATTTATTGAATGTCCTTAAAGAGAAAAATCAACACAGAGGTTCCTGGGCCAGGGCTGCACAAGGAGAGATCTGGGTCCCAGCAACGCTGGCCTGTTCTGTCATGTTGGGAATTACCCCTCTGAGAAATGAGAGACCAGACAGGGCTTCTCGAAGGCTCCCCAGATGGCCCCAAGCCTGAGCAACCCCATCCCAGGCCTGAGGCTGCTGGTGCCAGGTGGAGCCGGGGCTTTTCCGAGCTGTTTGGGACTGCCCCGGGAGAGGCCAGCTTGAAAGATCTCTTTGTTCTCGTCTCTCACGCTGACCTTTCTGAGCAAAGCTGCTCACTTTTAACAATATCCAAACAGGGCCTCAAACAAACTCTGGCCCAGAAATAGGCTGCGTGGGGAGACGCCAGGAAGTCGTTTATTCCAACTCAAGTAAGGCCTGACTGGGCAGGAACAGAAAGAGGTGTGGGTGTGGGGATGGATCAAGGACACAGCTTGTCTTGGGGCGGCCCAGGTGGGATGTGCAAGGGGCTGGCGAGCTCCTCCAGGCCCCTTGGCAGCAGCAGGCAATGGTGCACGCTTTGCAAAGCCCTTCACCCCGTTCAGTCCTCGCAGCTTTTGATGAGGTCAGTGAGGCAGGCAGGCTCTGTCACCCCGCACCAGCAATGGGTGTGGCGGGTAGAAGGCACTAGAAAAATCATCGCTGAATAAATCAATCCCCAAGTGCCAATGGGAAAACTAAAGCCTGGGAGAAGCCTGTCCTTCCAGGCCACCACCTACCTAACGGGAGAATGAGCTTATGTCAGGCACGAACGGGCTCAGACTTTGCTCCCTTTTAACCCTGAGAAGACCTAGCACAGTTACGCTTCCCTCTCCTGGACATCTGGACTCCAGAGCTCCTAGGACCCAACTGACTTAGTCTTCACAAAGTGCCTACTGCGTACCAAGTACTGGTCTTCAGCCCCGTTCATAACAGGCACTCCACAAATATCGGGGGAAATGAATCAAGAGCCTGAACGAGTGAGTGGATATCTCGTTCACAGGCTGGCCCATGAGCTACGCTCCTCACTTACTCAGAGCTTAGCAAAGGGTTTTGCACATAGTAGGTGCTCAACAAATATTAAGGAGGGGGAATTGGTTTGATTTGAAATGGAGAATGAGAAACTGCATGGAGTTGATGTCTGAATCAGAGTGCGTGGACTTGACTGCTGAACAGACACAGACACATATGACCCTGACTAGAAGTCCCCATTTCAGGGCTGGCACCGCTAATTGTGCACGAGAGGTTTCCAGTCAGAGACCCAGAAGAACACAGACAGTTGGCAGATCCCAACAGCTGGAGGGTTGGAGCAGAGGACAAGGTTAGGTGAAGTTCACATGGTTACCAAGCTGTTCACTCCGGCCAGACCCGCATCCTGTTTCAAAAGCTAAAACGCTCCTGTTCACCCCAGCCCCAGAATAAGCCCCTGTGACACTCCCCTCGCACAGCACTGAGCACGTCCAGGGCTCTTTCCTCTTTAGTGAGGTGGGAGCTGGGGCTGGGAAAATCAGGAGGTGCG